TTCTTGATGTCGGTTCAATCCTAGAGGTAAAGTATCCAGACTAGATAGCTAACATAGTAGTAGTTCCAAAGAAGAATAATAAATTTTGCATGTGTTAAATAGGGCGTTTCCAAAGGACTCATTTCCATTGCCGAACATTGATTAAATGATTGATGCAACAACCAGGCATGAGTTAATAAGTTTCCTTGATGCTTACTCCAGTTACAATCAAATTAAAATAAACCCGGAGGATCAGGAAAAATTTTCGTTCATAACTAATTTCGGCACATATTGCTATAATGTGATGCCATTCGGGCTAAAGAACACTAGCTTCAATTACCAGCGGCTCATAAACAAAATGTTTGAAAAACAAATAGGAAAACCATGGAAGTTTATATAGACGATATGCTTGTTAAGTATTTAAATGTAGGTGATCATCTTAAACACTTGCAAGAAACTTTTGACATCCTAAGGAAGCATAACATGAAGCTTAACCCTGAGAAATGTGCGCTCGGGGTCAGCTCCGGCAAGTTCCTGGGATTCCTGGTGTCACAAAGGAGAATTGAGGTTAACCCCGATAAAATCAAAGCCATCGAAGACATCCGGGACTAGCTCATGGGGAGATTGGTCACTTTGAGCAGGTTCATTTCCCGGTCTTTAGAGAAATGCCATCATTTCTTCTCATTACTCAAAAAGAAGAAGAACTTCGAATGGACCCCTGAATGTCAGCAAGCTTTGAGGGATTTGAAAAAGTAATTGTCAAGTCCTCCGCTATTATCAAAGCAAGAGGAAGGTGAAAAATTGTTAATCTACCTAGCAGTCTCGGAGGTAGTGGTAAGCGTTGTTTTAATCCTGAGGATGAAGATATACAATCTCCTATTTATTACGTTAGTAGAATTTTAACGGGAGCAGAAACTTGCTACCCACATTTGGAGAAGTTGGCCTTAGGTCTCGTAGTCGCTGCTCGGAAGCTAAGGCCTTATTTTCAATGTCACCCGATAGCTGTAGTGACCACCTTTCCCCTATAGAATATCTTCATAAACCCAAAATTTTGGGTAGGCTAGCCAAATGGGCCATCGAAATGAGTGAATTTGACATAGAATATAAACCTAGGACTGCGATTAAGTCACAAGTTTTAGCTAACTTTGTGGCTTATTTCAGTCCGGGATTGTTACCTTTGGCAACCAAAGAAGCGGTGATGGCGTCGGAATCGCCATCAAAAGTTTGGACCCTATTTTACGAACAGAGCTTCTAATGTAAAAGGGTTTGGGCTTGGCATATTATTAACACACCTTTGGGAGAAACCCTAAGGTAGGCCATAAGAACGGTTCCTCTAACTAAAAATAAAGCGGAGTGTGAAGCTTTGATGGTTGGTCTTGAATTGGCCTTGGGACTAGATTTCAAGGTCATAGAAATCAAATGCGACTCCCAACTGATGGTAAATTAGGTCTATGGGATCTTCGAAGCCACAAAGGAATGCATGGAACAATATGTAGTAAAGGTTCAAGATCTACTTGCTCGGTTCCGAGAGTGGTCAATTACGCATATCCAAAGGGAAGAAAATGCAGAAGCGGATGCATTAGCTAACCTTGGCTCATCAACGGACATGAAGGGATCAGACTCCGGTATGGTCGTATAGCTTATGTATTCCGTTTTGGATGCGGATAGCTACTACGAGGTAAACACAACTAATTTGGTCTGGGACGGAGGTCACTGATAACATCGAGCACGAAAAGTTACTTGAAAATCCCAAGGCATCCCGGCGTTGCACGCTAAAGCAGTGTGGTATAGTTTCAAAGGAGACTAATTGTACAGAAAATCTTTCCATGGCCCGCTGGCCTGATGTTTAGGAGCCTCCGAAGCTAATTATGTTATGCGAGAAGTCCACGAAGGGATTTGTGAAAATCATTCGGGCACAAATTCCTTAGTCCTAAAATTGGTAAGGGCAGGATACTATTGGCCCCGAATAGAACAAGATGCCAAAGCATTTGTTTAAAAGTGCAATAAGTGTCAACTTTACGCACCATTGGTACATCAACCAGCATAACCATTGCACTCAGTTTGTCTCCATGGCTATTCATGAAGTGGGGAATAGATATCGTCAGACCATTGCCGCCGGCCCCTGGTAAGGTAAGGTTTCTTTTGATTTTAACTGATTATTTTCCTAAGTAGGTTGAAGCAAGTCCCTATCAAAAGATAAGTGAACGTGAAGTGGTGGATTTCTTGTGGGAGAATATAATTTGCAGGTTTGGGATACCAAAAAAGATAGCATACGATAATAGGCCACTGTTTACAAGCGCAAAGGTCACGAAGTTCCTTGAAGACTTGAAAATCAAAAGGATCACGTCTTCGCCCTATAATCCGAGCACAAATGGTCAAGAAGAATCAACTAACAAAGTGATTATACAAAATCTGAAAAAGAGATTAGAATCAGCTAAAGGCAAATGGCCTGAGGAGCTACCCGGTGTATTATGGGCGTACCAAACAACGGTCAAATCAAGCATGGGAGAGACTACTTTTTCCCTTGTGTACGGAGTAGAAGCCTTGATCCTGGTGGAAGTAGGGGAGCCTACTTTGAGATACTTCCAGGCGAATGAAGAAGCAAATAATGAAGCAATGTTGGTCAATTTGGAGCTACTTGGTGAACGCAGGGACTTGGCGCATATAAGGATGGCAACTCAAAAAGCGGAGAATGGAAAGATATTAATATCGAAGAGCCAACCTCCGTTATTTCAAAGTCGGAGACTTGGTTTTAAAGAAAGCAACTCAAAACACCCAGGACCTTAATGCATGGAAGTGATGTCGTGAGATAATTCCATATATTTTGACATTATTTACCTTACATGTTTGTTGTTTGGATGCTAATTTGTGCGACAAATTGCAGCTTAATAGAGCTTCTCTCGCGTATAGGAATGCTTGGATATGATTTGGATAAAAGTTGCTCGAAATAGTACCTCAGAGCTATAAAATGGAGCAATAAAAGAAGAAGCGCAAGACAACGAAACAGTAGTGCCATAGACGGTGCAAGGCATTGTCCAGGGAACTATCATTGGCACTCCAGACAATGCCTTGCGCCGAAACAATGATGCCACAGACAGTGCAAGGAATTGTCCAGGGCACTGTCATTAGCGCCCCAGACAGTGCCTTGTGTCGAAACAATGGTGCCATAAATAGTGCCTCGCGTCGACGTAGCTTATCTAAGCCACTTTTATTTTCTCACTATTTTTGGACCGAGGTATCTTTTTTGGAGAAGAAAAGGTTGTTGAGCACTTGGAAGCAAGGATCAAAATGAGTTTTCTCTCAATTTATCTCTTTACTTTCTAGTTTATGTCTTTGAACATTATGTTGATTATTGTTGTACTTATGAGTAGCTAAACTCTCTGATCTAAGATTTGATGGAACCTATTGGAGAATGATTTTCTACTGCGTTTAATATAGATATGGCTTTGATTTTTCTCTACTTGTTCAACTATATTTTCATTGTTGTTAATTGAAGAACTCTCAATTAACTCTGCCTATTTAGTGTATATATTGCTCGAGAGAGAGTACACATTTAGGTAGTTGTTAAACAACACCACTCCTAACGAAGTTGAGAGATCAATATGGAGGGTTTGAAGGCGGGATTAGAAATAACGAAGGCTTTGTGTGATCATAGTGAGCGGTGAATTAGTGCCAACAAGCATAGTTCGAGAGAATACATCTGGTAAATTGTGTTCGTTGCTCAAGAGAGAGCTATGACACTCAAAGTACTTANGAGCTATCACATTGACACAGACCTGTAGTGTTGTTATGTCAAGAGAATACATCTGGTAAATTGTGTTCGTTGCTCAAGAGAGAGCTATGACACTCAAAGTACTTATGATTGGTAGAGAATATTTAGGCAAATTTATAGGAAATGTAGCGGGAAAGATTCTGACAATACGGAAAATCATAACCTAAGACTTTTCCAAATCTTGTCAACAATATTTGCTTTGCTAAGTGTAAGGCCCTGCTAGATAAAATGGCTCAAAACTCGGGATGGATGACAAGAGACTCCACAATTACCCCTATAGTTCACTCAGTAGCATTAGACCCGAACAATTCCATAAGCGAGAATATGGCCACTCTGATGATGCAAATGAGTATCCTCGCCAAGAAGATTAATGAATCAGGCCAGAAGCAAGTACACATAGTTGACACAATTAATGAGGGATTATATACACCATGCATTAACCAACCATACGTGTGTTCATGGAGTGGTGAAAGTGACAACCAGAACTATCAAGAGAAAATGAACAATGTGGGCAACTATGGAGGACAGAGGCAAGGTGGTCAGAATTGGGGGCAGCAAAATCAGCAGTATAGACTAACACAACAACAGTACAATAACACCAACAACTTTGGAGCTATGCGACCACAAGGCCAAGTAGTCTCTTACCAAATACAACAAGGATACAACCAGCAAAATCAACAGCTAACTTATCAACAACCTTAACAACAGATAGTGAGATAAGATCATAGGCTATCTGAAATAAGGGAATGCTGCAACAACTTATTGGATCCAATGGAAAAATGCAAGAGAAGGTTGAAGCACATTAATCAATGATAAAAGGCATTGAGATTCAATTAGGGAAGATATGTATGGCTCTAAATAACCGTCACCAAAGGACTTTACTTACAGACACACATGTCAATCCAAAAGAGCAGGGCCCGAAACAGCTCATGGTGGTGAGTTTGAAAAATGGTAGAAATCTTGATTTAGAGCAAGAAATTGCTCGTGAGAGCCGATCGATTAAAACACTTGTTTCAGTGTCAATTGAGGTATATTAGTTAACTGAGCTTACAAGAGTGAGAGTGTAGCCAGCCTATAAGGAAATAAACAAGTAAAAAGAGGTTTCGGAGGAGACTGAAAATGTACAAGAAAAGGCACTAGAAAAAGTGCTTGAGAAGGATCTAACTCAAGCCATAGAAAAGAAGCGAGCTCCAGCACTTTTCTGCAGAGTTTGGCTAAATATCAAAAGGATAAATAGTACAAAAAATTCATGGAAGTGCTGAAGCAAATTCAGGTAAACATTCCTCTAATCGATGCTTTGAGGGAGATGCCCGGTTATGCAAAAATGATGAAGGACTTGATGTCTCGTAAATTCGACTTCCAAGACTTGGAAACTATCACATTGACACAGACCTGTAGTGTTGTTATGTCAAGACCTATAACTGAGAATTTATCCGACCCTAGAAGTTTCACAATTCTATGCATCATAGGTAGCTATGCATTTGCCAAGGCATTGTGTGATTTGGGAGCAAGTATAAATCTGATGCCATTGTCTATCTATATAAAGTTAGGCATTGGAAGAGCAAGACCTACATCCATGTTACTACAGCTAGCTGACTGAACGGTAAAAAGGCTATCAGGTATACTTGATGATGTACTTGTGCAAGTTGGAAAATTCGTGTTTCCAGCAGATTTTGTCATTCTAGACTGCAAGGTTGATGAAGAAATTCCTGTAATTTGGGAAGGCTGTTCTTGGCCACAAGAAGAGCGCTGATTGATTATGAAATAGGGGAACTGAAGATGAGGCTGAATAATGAAGAAATAACATTTAATGTGCAAAAGTCTATGCGGCGACCTACTGAGTTTGCAAATTGCTCTTTGTTAGACACAATGGATGTAATCATGGAGGAAGATGATGAGGCACTTAATGCAAAAGACCCTCTAATAGCCTGCCTTATGAACTTAGAAGAAGTAAATAGTGAAGACTTGGAAGAATGGGTGTTGGCTCTTCAAGGTCAAGTGTACTGGAAAAGAGAGCTCGAATTTGAGCCTTTACACTCAGAAGAAAGAAAGACCTCCAGCCAAGCCATCGATCGAAACACCACCAATATTGGAGCTGAAACCGCTACCATATCACCTCGGGTATGCTTTCTTGGGGCCTAACTTGACTTTACCTGTTATTATCTCATCTGGTTTGTTAGATGCACATGTAGAACAACTTTTGCAGGTGTTAAAAGAGTGCAAGACTGCAATTGGTTGGACCATTTCACATATTAAGGGTATCAGCCCAGCCTTCTGTATGCATAAAATTCTACTGGAAGATGGGCACAAACCTTCCAGAGAATATCAAAGAAAGCTGAACCTTAACATGAAAGAAGTTGTAAAGAAGGAAGTGATCAAATGGTTAGATGCGGGAATTATTTTTCCCATCTCAGATAGCAACTGGGTTAGCCAATTCAGTGTGTGCCAAAGAAAGGTGGGATAACTATTGTGCAAAACGAGAACAATGAGTTGATTTCAACAAGAATAGCCACGGGATGGCGAATTTACATGGACTACAGAAGATTGAACAAGGCCACCCGAAAAGATCATTTTCCCTTGCCTTTCATTGATCATATGCTAGATAGATTGGCATGGAGGTCCCATTTTTGTTTCTTGGATGGATACTCGGAGTATAATCAAATATCTATTGCCCGGAGGATAGAGAGAAAATGTCATTCACCTGTCTATATGAAATTTATGCTTTTCGGAGAATGTCGTTTGGCCTATGCAATGCATCCGCTACATTCCAAAGGTGCATGATGGCCATATTCATAGATATGGTAGATGATATAATGGAGGTTTTCATGGATGATTTCTCAGTGGTGGGAAATTGTTTTAATGATTGCCTTAGAAATCTGAAAAGAGTGTTGCAGAGATGTATGGAGACTAATCTGGTACTAAACTGGGAAAATGTCATTTTATGGTACATGAAGGTATAGTCTTGGGACACCTAGTGTCAAGTAAGGGCATCGAGGTGGACCGTGCTAAGGTCAATGTAATAGAGAAGCTTCCAACAACCACTTCTGTCAAGGAAATAAGAAGTTTCCTTGGCCACGCCAGTTTCTACAGGCTTTTCATAAAAGATTTCTCCAAGATTGCTAATCCTATGTGTAAATTGCTTGAAAAAATCACCCTTTTGTGTTTTCTGATGATTGCATGGTAGATTTTGAAGGATTGAAGAAGAGGTTGGTGTCTGCACTTATCATAGTTGCACCCGACTGGGAGCAATCATTTGAGCTGATGTGTGATGCAAGTGACCATGCTATAGCAGCAGTACTTGCGCAAAGAAAAGATAAAATCATCCATCCAATCTACTATGCAAGTAGAACATTGAATGGTGCTCAACTGAATTACATAGTGACAAAAAAGAGATGCTAGCCGTGATGTTCGCATTTGACAAATTCCGATCCTACTTGATAGGCTCGAAGGTAATTATTTATACTGACCATGCTGCTCTTAGGTACCTAATTGATAAGAAGAAGTCAAAGTCACGCCTGATTAGATGGGTCCTATTGTTGAAAGAGTTCGACTTGGAAATCCATGACCAAAAAGGAACGGATAACCAAGTTGCCAATCACTTGTCCAAGCTTGAAAGAGTTGAAACGAAGGTTGAGGTGGAAGAGATCATGGAGACTTTCTCAAATGAACAATGGTTAGCCACGAGCCTTGAGGTATCGCAATGGTATGCAGACATTGCAAACTACCTGGCAAGCGGTATTGTTCCCTATGACATGTCTTCTGTGCAGAAGAAAAAGTTCTTTCATGATTGTCACATGTATTTCTGGGATAAACAATATTTACTTAGTATTTGTATTGATAACATGATTCGGAGATGTATTCCCGAGATAGACCAAACTTCTGTTTTACAAGCATGTCATGCTTTGCCTTATGAAGGTAATTTTGGAGGAGTAAGGACAACTGCTAAAGTTTTGTAGTCGGACTTTTATTGGCCGACGTTGTTTAAGGCTGCACAATTTTAGGTAAAGATATGTGATGAGTGTCAAAGGACGGGGAATATTTTCCGTCGACATAAGATGACCATGAACCCAATTCAAGAAGTAAAAGTATTTGATGTATGGGGAATCGACTTTATGGGACCATTTGTCAGCTCATACAACAACAAGTATATACTCGTAGCAGTGGACTATGTCTAGAAATAGTAGAAGTTGTGACACTCCCGGCAAATGATGCAAACGGAGTCATTGGCTTTCTAAGAAAAAGTATCTTCACCCGTTTTGGTACTCCAAGAGCGATCATCAGTGATGGAGGAACTCACTTCTGCAATCGATCCTTCGCAAAGTTGCTGGAAAAATATGGCGTATGCCATTAGGTTGCCACTCCTTATCACCCACAAATAAGTGGGCAAGTTGAGGTGTCAAACAGAGAAATCAAGAGTGTCTTGACCAAAACTGTAAATGCTACTTAGACTGATTGGGCGAGAAAATTAGATGATGCACTATGAGCCTACCATACTGCATTCAAAACTCCAATTGGTATGTCACCGTACAAATTGATGTTTGAAAAGGCGTGTCACTTACTGGTGGAGCTAGAACATAGAACTTTTTGGGCATTAAGGCAATTAAATCTTGACATGGAGGCTGCTATTACAAGTAGAGTCACAGAGCTTCATGAACTTGATGAGTTTCATTACCATGCTTTTGAGAACACCAGACTGTACAAGGAAAGGATGAAGATCATGCACGATAAGCATATTCAAGAGAGGATTTTCAAACCCAGAGATGTCGTGTTGTATAATTCAAGATTGAAATTATTTCCGCGTAAGATGAAATCTAGATGGTCGGGACCATTTAGAGTGGTGCAAGTATTCTCAAGTGGAGCTGCAGAAATTGAATCGAAGGATGGAATGAATAGGTTTAGAGTTAATGGGCAAAGGTTGAAACATTACCTTGGCATGGAGGAGGATAAAGTTGCATCGGTGATTCATTTGAAGGAGCCTCAAATGTTGAGTGAATCTTAAGTTCAATATCTTGCGTCGTGTCGCAACGTTAAATCTAGCGCTTATTGGGAGGCAACCTAACTCATAGCGTAGAGTTATTTTAGTTTTAGTTTTTTATTTTATTTGATGTTGAGGAGGATTAACAAGTGAGTTTTGTGTGCATTTGAAGTGTTTTTATAGTAGTGGAGAGACGTGGAAGGAAGATTTGCTCGGGTATCCTAAACAATCTAAAAGGTTGCAAAACGAACAAGAAAACATCGAGCCATCACAAGGCGAAGTCAAAATAGTAAGTTTTGTATGTCTCGTGTTACCTAGCGTGGTAGTAACCGTACGCCATCCCAGACCCCACCCCGCGCTAAATTTTCAGTGCCACCTCACGATGTCCAATGCACTAAGGACAACGCCCTAATGATGCCTCACGTGTTAATTTTGTTGCTGCCCACACCGCCTCGTACCAACCCAGGTACGTGAAATATGGGTCGTCCAATAGCTAGTTCTAGAGCATCGGCTAAGGCTAAGTCACCACCAAAGGAAAAGGCTACCTTGTCAGCCCACCGCTAAAGAAAAGGACCAGAGTTGAGGCTACGTCTGGTAGTCATAGTGGTAAAGGAAATCAAGTGGCTTCTGTTTCTATCGGGGCACAACCTCAAGATAGAGCGACTCGTGAGTATGGCATCAAGAGTATGCCACCATCTGGGAGAGGATTGATCAGGGAGTTCTCATTCACCCTTTCTACTTTAACTATGCAATGAGGACACTGCATGTTTTAAGTGTGGGGTGGGTAACTCTCATTGTGCATAGTAGGAATAGATTAGTAACCATATTAGCTTCTTACATTTTTAATTTTTAGCTTCTTATATTTTTAAATTCTATCTTCTTGTTTTATTATTTTAGGATATTCTAGAATAATATTGAGTAGTGTAGAAGATTTTATTTTTTTTATTTTCGAAAAAAATAATAATGAACTTTTCCCGACGATGGATCTCCTAGACAGTTTTCTTGAGGGATTAAATCTAAATAAAAAAAAATAGAAAAGAGAAAAATACAAAAACATATCTTTTTTTTTCTTAGGTAGTAATAATCCCCTGTGGTTTTTCTTCGTGCCTCAGTTCTTTTTCATGGGATGTAACTTGAACCGGGTAGTAGATTTTTTTATTTTATTTTTTTACTTATAGAGTAGTATGTAGGAAATAAAAGAGAAGAACTTAAGTGATGTGCACCTTTTGACTTGTTTGATGGTTGCATACTTATGTTCTGGCATGTGTTTCCCTTAGCTTAGATATATGATGATGCCTTGATAAAAATAAATAGCATGTGGTATAACTCATATGCCCTGGTTGCTTGATTTGTGTTCACTTTGTGCTTTATGCTCAATATATCTCCTGGCTTAGTGAATACTTGTTTGATTGAAGTCCAAATGAAGCTGTCCGTAGTGAGTCATGTACCATGTGTGAAGTGATTTCTTTGTACAGTACATACTATTGCATTTGAGTCTAGAACTTGCACGGAATGTGAATTGAAGCAAAATCCTAGGTGTTGCTTGGTTTGAGAAGTGATGTTAGACTTTCTTTGATCTTTTTGAACTTTGTTGCCAATCTCAAATAAAATCATCCGTAGTCACGCTTTGAGCCTATAAGCCTTTCTTTTGGCACCCGCATTACAAGCCTATCTCTTTTTATTCTTAACTGAATCATTTTGATCCTTAGACCTCTTAAAGCAATTGAATTGCAAAGAGAGCACTAAAAAGAAGTAATGAGGAAACTTGGGGTAGCTTTTGAGTGAAACCAGTAGAAGGAAGAAATATACACTTGTGCTGTAAATAAAAATCCATTAGCAGCAAACAAAAAAAATGAATAAATGAAGGGTTCTTATTTTTGCTAGTGGATGTGATCTGAAGCAGTGCATAAAGAAGAAGAAAAATATTCTAGGGTGAGCTATCTTGTGATGATTAAAGTGGATTGAACGAAGTGCACTTAAAAATTGAATACGTGATGTATTAAAGTGTTTAGGAGGGTTAACCACTGTATCTTATGTGTATCATACCAGTCTCTTAGCCCACATTACAACTATAATAAAGTTCTAGTTGATTTCAGACCGAGCGGGCCTACATAGGGATGTGCATTCAAATCGGTTTATCGATAAATCGAATAGATTATTTGTTATTGGTTTATTGATTTCGATTTCGAAATTTTCCTTATCGAGTTATCGATTTTAATTTCGATTTTGTCCTTTCTGGTTATCGATTTATCGATAAACCGATAAGATATACTAAAAAGACAAAAAAAAAATTACCCTTATTCTATAATACCCTTTTCTTTACCCTAAGTACCTAACACTATTATTTCCTCTACCACATTTAAGGAATGGTCATATTTAAAGATCAATGGAATGAAGTTCAAATTAATGGAAAACAGAATTAACCTTGATGATGTATTTTGTTTTTTTATATCGTTGGAGTGTTGGTGGCATACATTTGATCCCTTACTTTAGTTTTATTGCATGTGCTTGTTGACACAATTTTTATGTTATAAACGGTGTTCATCTTATTTTAGCTTCTTTTTGTCCATATTAGTTAGGCGTATTTATAGCGATATAGTTTCCGTGGAATCCTGCAAATTTTCTTATTGGTGTAATCGATAACCGAATCGATAAGCCCCCAAAATTGATAAATTGAAACCTTATTAAAACGATAACGATAAGCATATGTACAAATCGATAATCGATAAGTAATTATCGATAAGGGTCAAAATCGAATCAATAAATCGAATGCACACCCCTAAGCCTGCATTAGTAGAGATTTACATAATGGGCAAGCCTATGGTACCTTTTGCATGCATGTGACTTTTTTGAGAGAGTGAGTGATTTTTCTTTATATGTGTGAGTCCTTAAAATATATTCGATCGTGTGATTTAGATGTGTGGACTGCTTACTCTTTTGTTTTAATGTGAGGGCACATGGTTTCACAAAGGATATGTAATGTTATTAGACCTCTCTATTGGATTAAGTATTCAAGCCTCCGATGCATTGTGACATTGAGTTAGTTTTCGAGGCTAGGATTGTTATAATCATGTTGTTCCTGTGTTGGATATTTTGAAATTGGGCATAAGTATGGGAAGTGTATTATGACCGCATATACTAGAGCTTAATTGTTACTATCAACCATGGTCATAGGTGTAGTGTGTTGTAAATACGTGGCTTATTGGGCCCGTGATGAGGAAGTGTTTAGTTGGTTGACTCGAGGGCGAGCATCATTTAAGTGTGGGGAGTTGATGTCGTGAGATAATCCCATATATTTTGACATTATTAACCTTACTTGTTTGTTGTTTGGATGCTAATTTATGCGACAAATTGCAGCTTAATAGAGCTTCTCTCGCGTGTAGGAATGCTTGGATATGATTTGGAGAAAAGTTGCACGAAATGGTACCTCAGAGCTATAAAATGGAGCAATAAAAGAAGAAGTGCAAGACAACGAAATAGTAGTGCCATAGATGGTGCAAGGCATTGTCCAGGGAACCATTATTGGCACTCCAGACAATGCCTTGCGCCGAAACAATGATGCCACAGACAGTGCAAGGCATTGTTCAGGGCACTGTCATTAGCGCCCCAGACAGTGCCTTGTGTCGAAACAATGTTGCCACAGATAGTGCCTCGCGCCGACGTAGCTTATCTAAGCCACTTTTATTTTCTCACTATTTTTGGACCGGGGGATCTTTTTTGGAGAAGAAAAGGTTGTTGAGAACTTGGAAGCAAGGATCAAAACGAGTTTTCTCTCAATTAATCTCTTTACTTTCTAGTTTATGTCTTTGAACATTATGTTGATTGTTGTTGTATTTATGAGTAGATAAACTCTCTTATCTAAGATTTGATGGAACCTATTGGAGGATAATTTTCTACTGCGTTTAATATAGATTTGCCTTTGATTTTTCTCTACTTGTTCAACTAATTGTTAATTAAAGAGCTCTCAATTAACTGTGCCTATTTAGTGTGTCTATTACTCGAGAGAGAGAGAGAGAGTACATATTTAGGTAGTTGTTGAACAACACCACTCCTAACGTAGTTGAGGGATCAATATGGAGGGTTTAAATGTGGGATTAGAAATAACGAAGCCTTGGTGCGATCATAGTGAGCAGTGAATTAGTGCCAGCTAGCGTAGTTCGAGAGAATACTTCTAGTAAATTGTGGTAGTTGCTCGATAGAGAGATCTATGACACTCAAAGTACTCACGATTGGTAGAGAATATTTAGGCGAATTTATAGGAAACGTAGCCGATAGGATTCCGACAATAGTGGATATTATAACCTTAGACTTTTCCAAATCTTGTCTATAAAATTTACTTTGCTAAGTTATAAATTACTGCATTTTAATTACTTTGATTTTAGTTAGTAAACTCTCAAATCGTTAAATAATATTTTCGAAGGTTGATTACTTGAATTTGTACAAAACTATTGGTTGTAATTAGTCTGTTATTTCCCTTTGGGATCCGACTCCGGACTTGTAAACCGGATTATATTTGCAATGATCACTAGACCTTTTAGGAGGCATGGTTGAGCATGATCAGGAAGCTAGGTCCAACATGGGAAGTACCCTACCGGGTTTCAGCTGTCACCGGGAAAGGATCATACGAGTTGGAGAATCAAGATGGAGAAAAGTTTCCAAGCAACTGGAACGTGGCACACCTCAAGTGATACTACTACTGATGGACATCACCTGTACTGAAAGTATGTGATGCACTTTTTTTCCTTCATTAAATTTTGTCCCACTTGGTTTTTTTGGCAAGATTTTTAACGAGGTAGCAACAGAAAGCATACTACAAAGGAAGTTTCAACAACAACAATAAGTCTTTTTGATGACAAGGCACACAAGCGAAGAACCACTTGAGGGCGGTTAGATAATCTTTTGCTTGGTAGCAAAGCTGATAACGGGAAGTTAAATTTGCTATCAAACAAATATTACCCGACCGTTCACAATTGCAAACCACTAGGGGATTATTAGATAGTCTTTGGCTCAGAAAGGGGAAGTGA